ACCATGCCGGTACCGATATGATTGAGATGATTTTGAAGATATTAATTTTGGTTATATATAATAGAATAACCGATAAATTGATATTTTTAAATAACTGGTCGAACCGAACCATTGACACCCTAGAGGTTAGCTAGAAGAAACAAATCCCTTTACAATCAAGCGATTAGAATGAAATCTTGCTTTATACTTATGTTTCGAATTAGAGAAAAGTTGTCGTTTGGAATCACCTCAGAAGGAACAAATTCTTGATGTCCAGCAACAAGTGATTCTTTATCATTCAACCTTGCTCTTGTTAAAACTAACTATTCCCTTATACAAGGTGTGTATAAAGGCGGACTCGAAATTTAAAAATTATGGATGGATTGATATTTTTGATATTAATATAATACTTATTATATAGGAACCGCAAAAATAGTAACCATATAATGGTCTGCATTTGGTTAGTTTTCATTTTTAAATAGTTTCGGTTCATGTAATTAGGTTAACCGAATAAAATACTCTACTTATACACATATTAAATAAAATTTAAAATTTTTGGTGAGACAAGAAAGCACCTGCATTAATTGGATAATTTGATGAAAAGAGAAAATCCATTTTGATATATTTTTTGTTTAGTTAAATAATTGGCCATTAAATTTATTGATATATTTTTCAATCTCAGTTCTAACGACTCAATATTTTATTGGGATCGAAAACAACAAGGCAGCATGAGGAAGCAAACAAAGCAAACCTTGGTGATGATAAATTAGACGACAAAGATATACTTAGGGGTGTGCATTCGAATCGGTTTATTGATAAATCGAATCGATTATTTGTTATCGGTTTATCGATACTGGTTTATCGATTTATCGATTTCGATTTCGATTTTGAAATTTTCCTTATCGAGTTATCGATTTCGATTTCGATTTTGTCCTCTTCGGTTATCGGTTTATCGATAAACCGATAAGGTATACTATAAAGACAAAATTTTTTAATTTTTTAAATTTTTTTTAACCCTTATTCTATAATACCCTTTCCTTTACCCTAAGTCCCTAACCCTATTATTTCCTCTACCACATTTAAGGAATGATCATATTTAAAGCTCAAGGGAATGAAGTTCAAATTAATGAAAAACAAAATTAGCCGTGATGATGTATTTTTTTTTTTATACCAATGGAGTGTTGGTGGCATACATTTGATCCCTTACTTTAGTTTCGTTGCATGTGCTTGTTAACACAATTTTTATGTTATAAATGATGTTCGCTTATTTTAGGTTCTTTTTGTCCATATTAATTATGCGTGTTTATAGCGATATACTTTCCGTAGAATCCCGCAAATTTTCTTATTGATGTAATAGATAACCGAATCGATAAGCCCCAAAAATTGATAAATCGAAATGGAAAAAATCGAAACCTTATTGAAACGACAACGATAAGTATATATACAAATCGATAATCCATAAGTAATTATCGATAAGGGTCAAAATCGAATCGACAAATCGAATGCACACCCCGAGATATACTAAAAGCGGCCCAATATTTTAATATAGCTTGGTCAATTGACCTACATATGATAATACTAATATAAAAGGGGAAAAAATGAAGAGAAAAATCTCCCCCTAAACAAAGCTCTTTTAATGATTACAGTGTGGATGTTATTCTGTGTTGTTGTATGAATGAAGTATTCTCAATATATAGAGGCAACAACCTTTTCATCCAAAAAAGAAATCTGTCAAATATGGAAGAGATCAATATTTTATTTTAAGGAAAAGTAAAACAATTATGGTTAATAGTCTATCATTCATCAAGTAAAAGAATAAATCCAAATAAAGTAAGATAATCAGAACAATTTCCTAACATTTCTCCCTTTGGGTCTAAATTTTCCTAGCAAAGCTTAATCCTTCGTCTTCACTTAATGTTCATTACTGTTGATTGTCATGGATAAAAATATGCATGCGTTTAAAATTGGAGCCTCGTGCATTAAAAGTGAGCACACGCTAAAAATATTAGAGCCCTGCGTTAAAAGTGAGCCGGGTTAAAAGTGGAGCCCTGCGTTAAAAGTGAGTAGGGTTAAAATAGGAGTCCATGCATTAAAAGTAAGCATGAGTTAAAATTGGAGCTCTTGCTTTAAAAGTAAGCAAAGGCTGAAAGTGGAGTTTATCGTTAGAAGTAAGCATGAAGTGAAAATTTGAGCCCATAAGCATTGGTTAAAAATGACTTTCGTTTTTGAATAAGCACCAGTAGGATTTTTGAAAATATGGTTGAGAGTTTGTCTCCAAAGTAGTACTCTTTTAATTCATCGTCAAATTGGATACAACTTGATCTGAATCCACCTTGAACATGTCTTCGACCTCACCCCAAACCATCTACTTTAGCATTAGCTCTAATACAACTTATTGTGATAAAAAATAACAAGGCAGCATGCGAAAGCAAAAAAAATAAATCTTCGTGATGATAAATCAGACGACAAAGAATAATATACTAAAAAAGCATAATATTTTAATATTATTCTGTCAATTGACCTACATACTCTAAAACTAATATAAAAAGGGGAAGCAATGTTGAGAGAAAAATCTCCCCCTAAACAAAGCTCTTTTAATGACTATACCCAATATGGACCAATAACGGATTGTAACACACTAGACTTTAGACAGAGTCCCACATCGGCAAAACACAAGAGGGATACTGGGTGTATAAGTTAAAAAGCCTTAGACCCTAGTGAGGCTTTTTAAACCCGTGAGGGCCCAGGCCCAGAGTGCAAAATATCACTAGCGGGCTGGGCTGTTAAAGTTGGTATCGGAGCTTAGGCTTTAGGTCCCGAGTCATGGAGAAATATTTAGTAGAGTCTTGTGCATGGGTATGTACGCGCCCATACTTATGATCTTGAGGCTACTGAACATCTAAAAATTTTTTCCCTTCTTTCATTCTTTGATCGTGCGTTGAGATAACTTGAGATTAACTTTGGAGTATTTCTTTCACAGTTGGCTAGGACACGCGCACCCTCATCTACTAGACGTGGTGCTAGACGTGGTACTACCCAGGGTGGCGGTCAAGATGGGGTTCATCAAACTAGAAGACAGACTGCTCCTCAACCTAAAGTTGGGAACATGGGTCAACCCCAAGCTGCTATGACAGAGCAAGTGCAAGGGCAGGGAGTTCAGGACGCTCCACCACCAGTGCCAACTGTTATACCTAATGTTGCCTTAGCTGCAAATGCAGTGGCAAGGTTATTGACTGTGTTAGATTCATTGGTGCTTACTCAGGGTGGAAGTTCAGCTCCTCAGGCTACTTTACAGAGTCAAGCACCTGCACAGACTCAGACTTTCGAAAATAAGGAAGTATCCCTAGAAGAGTTCCTGAAATTGAAGTCACCAACAATCACAGGTATTGATAATTCAGCAGATCCTCAAAGTTTCTTGGATGGGACAGTCAAGGCGTTACGTGCTCAAGGATATTCTAGTGAGAGAGTCGTGGAACTCGCAGCATACAAACTAGAGGATATGGCAAACACATGATATGAAAATTTATTGCTAGGAAAGCTAGCAGAAGCAGCACCACTGACATGGGACGAGTTCACTAAGTTGTTCATAAATCATTTTCTTCCAGACATCCTAATGCAAAAATATGCTAGAGGCTTTGAGAGATTAATTTAGACTCCAGATATGGATGTGTCAATATATAACACCATGTTTTGTAAGCTGGCTAGATATGCTCTATACTTAGTGCCTACCGAAGAAGCTCAAACTCAGAGGTTTGTTGATGGATCTGTTAGTCGGTTATACACTGCAGTAGCCCTACAGATGAAGACTTTATCCTACTCTGATGTAGTCAACCTTTCTAGAAAAATTAAAAACAAGGGACGTGATGAGCGTGCAACTAGTGATTTACGTAAGAAGGCCAAGGCAGGAGGGTCTTTTAGGAGCGGTTTTAGTAAAAATCAAAAGGCAGGAAATCGGGGTAAACAACAACAGGGTTCTCAGACAGGGACACACCTATCTTCACAGAGCACATACAGACCATATTACAGACAGGGTACTAGGGGACCATCAGCAACTGGACAACGTAATTCTAGGTAGATATATGCCACTACTCCAGTCTGCCAGACCGCTGGTAGCTCACATTTGGGCCAATGTCATGTTCTAATGGGAGAGTGCTTTCAGTGTGGTCAGTTGGGACATCACTTGAGGGGTTGCCCTTGGCCTCCAAGAAATTTCAACCAGGCCTCTATTCAGTCAGCTGCACCTACTCAGACTACTTGTAATACTTCAGGTGCTACTGGTACAGGAAATAGAGGTCAAGGTTCTAGAGACGTGCTGCTGTGAATCAAGGACAAGGAATGCTGGTAGAGGTCAGGCGAGAGTTCTTGCATTTACTAGACATAATGCTCAGGCTTCGAATGTTGTGGTTACAAGTATTCTTTCTGTATATTCATTTGATGCACTTGCATTGATTGATCCGAGATCAACTCACTCCTATGTGTCCTCGTACTTTGATTTGAGGTTTAGTAGACAGCCTGAGCTATTGAATGACCCTTTTTTAGTTACTACTCCTGTTGGAGAGTCTCTATTAGCTGAATACGTGTATCGTGCTTATCAGATTCGGTTGAGGGTAGAGATACTCTAGCTGACCTTATTGTACTTGATATGATTGACTTTGACATGCTGACGGGAATGGATTGGTTATCTTCTTGTTATTCTATCATCAATTATCATGAAAACATAGTCAAGTTTGAGATGCCAAACGAACCTAGTTTTGCTCTAAAAGGGGGTCTGGTTCTAGAGAATTGCAAAGTTGTATCTTTTATGAAGGCTCAATGACTGCTGAAGAAAGGTTGCTTGGGCCTCATAGCTATTGCAAATGACACAAGAAAAGAAACAGTTAGTATAGAAAATGTACAGGTAGTTAGAGAATTTAAGTGATGTATTTCCTGAGGATTTACCAGGATTGCCTCCAGTATGAGAAATAGATTTTGGTATTGATTTTCCACTTGACGCACAACCCATATCAATACTGCCATATCGGATGGCACCAGCAGAGTTGAAGGATCTAAAACAACAACTACAGGATTTGTTAGATAATGGTTTTATCAGACCGAGTATATCTCCATGGGGTGCACCAGTACTGTTCGTAAAGAAGAAAGACGGATCCCTGAGAATGTACATTGACTACAGGCAGTTGAACAAGAAAACAATACGCAATAAATATACTTTGCCTTGTATAGTGACATGTTTGATCAATTACAAGGAGTTCCCCACTTTTCAACGATTGACCTCCATTTTAGTTATCATCAACTTAGAATCAAGATGAAGATATTTCTTAGACTGCTTTCAGAACTCGATACGGGCACTATGAATTTCTTGTGATGCCTTTCGGATTGACTAACGCTCCAGCTGCATTCATGGATTTAATGAATAGGGTGTTAAAGTCGTTCTGGATAGATTTGTAATAGTATATATTGATGATATCCTGATATATATTCTCGTAGCCAAGGAGAACACGAGAATCATCTCAGGACTGTGTTGCGGACATTGCTAGAACATCGGCTTTATGCTAAGTTCTCAAAGTGTGAATTTTGGCTAGACTCAGTATCATATCTGGGGCATGTTATATCCAAAGATGGAATCATGGTAGATCCTAAGAAGATAGAAGGTGTGGAGAAATGGCCCGGAACTACTTCTTCCACAGAGATTTGCAACTTCTTAGGCTGACTAGGCTATTACAAGCGTTTTGTGCAGGATTTCTACAGAATAGCAGCGCCGCTGACCAAGCTAACACAGAAAATGCAAAGTTTCAGTTGACGGAGGAATGTGAGTAGAGCTTTCAAGAACTCAAAACATGTTTGACAACTGCACCAATATTAGCCTTACCATCAGGTTCGGAGGATTTACGGTGTTCTGTGATGCATCGAGTGTGGGATTAGGATGTGTTCTCATGCAAAATGGTCGTGTTATTGCTTATGCTTCGAGACAATTGAAAAAGAATTACTATGGATTTTGTCACCGGTCTACCACGAACCCTTAGAGGTTATGACTCTGTATAGGTGATTGTAGATCGACTGACGAAATCAACACACTTTTTGCCAGTGAATACTACATAGCGTGGAGTGAGGTATGCACGTATATTTATGAACGAAATTGTCCGACTTCACGGAGTTCCAGTATCCATCATCTCTGATAAAGGATCACATTTCACTTTACGCTTTTGGAAATCTTTTCAAGAAGCATTGGGTACTCAAGTAGATCTTAGTACTCCATCTCATCCACAGACAGACGGGCAGCCTGAATGTACTTTAAAAATCTTGGAGGATATGTTAAAATCTTGTATTCCTGAGTTTGGAGATAGTTAGGACACTAATTTACCTTTAGCTGAATTTGCTTACAACAATAGCTTCCAGTCCAGTATTCAAATGGCATCGTACGAAGAATTGTATGTTAGAAGATGTCGTTCTCCTATCAGATGGTTTGAAGCTGGTGAGACTAACTTATTGGGACCTGACTTAATACAAGAAGCTATAGACAAAGTTCAATTGATCAGACAGAGATTGCTTACAGCTCAAAGAAGACAAAAATCTTAGGCGGATAAGAGAAGAAGAGATTTAGTGTTCACAATTGGGGACAAAGTGTTCCTATGAGTCTCTTCTATGAAAGGTGTGATTCGATTTGGGAAAAGAAGCAAGCTGAGCCCCAGGTTTATAGGACCATGTACTAAACCGAGTGGGAGGGGTGGCTTATCGTTTGGCACTTCCTCCTGAGTTGTCCTTTATTCATCCAGTTTTTCATGTCTCAATAGTAAGAAAATGTATATCAGACTCATCTCAGGTGCTTGAAGCACCTGCTATACCGCTTGATAAGAAGTTGTCTTACGAGGAGGAGCTGATGGCTATTGTTGATAGGCAAGTAAAGAAGCTACGGTTAAAAGAATTTTTGTTCATTAAACTATTATGGAGAAATAATAGAGTTGAAGAATCTGCATGGGAAGTAGAAAAAGATATACAAGCGAAGTATCCCCATTTATTTCAGTCCACAGGTACGTACTTAAATTAAATTCAAGGACCGAATTTCATAAGTTGGGACAATGTAATACCCTTATAAGGGCATATAAGTCTTTAACTAATGTTTTAAAAAAATAAATAATAGGAAAATGGGCAACAGAAGCTAAAAACAAGGAAAGAATGAAAAAGAAGAAGAAGAACAAGATCATTTCAGTTCTTTTCTTCTGGTAATATTTTTTTAGCTCAGCTTATATATTTGAAGGGTTTCACGAGGTATAAGAAATTTAATACCAATAAGATTTATTCTGGAAAAATTATGCAATTGGAAGTTGGTCAATGTTACTGTAGGATGAATTCACTTGAAAAAAAGAAGAAGGGTATTGATGTATTTGTACTTAAACTAGTCTCATTATATCTGATCTTTGTTAGGTGTACATTAAGAAGGGTATTGATATGGTTATAGATTGATTGAAGAAAGTCGTACGGATCGTTCGAGATGACGAGTTTGGTATTTCGCACGAGTACTGTGAGTAGTAATCTTGCAAATAATTTGTGTTTTCATAACTTACATGATTTACACATGATTTTTAATCTAAATATGTTACCGATTATTTTGAGTTGCATGTGGATGAGCCTTTTACTCGATATGATACCGAAACAGTTATTTGAGATGATTACAGTGGTTTTAAATATTTTCGTTGTCACTAGATGATTTGATTAGATTACAGTGGTTTTACCATTACTTGAATTTACTCTTATCGAAATGGAATTATATGATTTGATAAGAACCAAAGTGCCCTATATTATTTAAAAATATTTTCTACGAGTATATACGGATTGCAGAGACAAGTATAAATGGGAGTAAACATTGAAGGATCCCGTAGCTAACGGCGGCTTCAGTAGACCTAGTGCACCTTGTAATTACCGATTACCGTTATAGTCCTCGCTAGTGGGAATATGATGAGACTGAATTATATGAGACTTCATGCAAAATGTGAATATTGGTATTATGTAGTGGTTACCGAGTTTATTACTGAATTGTTAAACGTAAGAACATGATGAGACTGAAAATTATTTATTATTTCCGAAGGGCATTTTTATGTTATTTTCTGTTTGAGATACTAGCATATTTTCTGACTTGTCCCCAATAAAAACACTTGTAGTTAAGTGTTATTACTCACTGAGCTAGCGACTCATTCCCCGCTAATTTTTTTAACTAAGACAGTAGTTGGCGCAGGCAAGGATTTTGTTAATTAGAGCGCACAGGTTGATAGTTCTTGGTGAGCCCCGCACTTGTTCGCGTGGGTGGAAATTTTATTTATTCCTATGGTCGTTCTTTGAATTCTTAGATTCGCTCTGTATTCATCATTTTGGTGTCATGAGTATTATTTTTTTATTATAGTCTTATATTGCGTATCGTTCCTTTAATATCAAAGTTTGAGATAAATAAGTATTTGTTGTTTTTAGTGAGTTGATTAGCAATGGTGGAGACTTGTTTTAGTTAACTGATAAGTTGTTGATTAGTTTGTTTGATATTAGGATGGTTTGTTGTTGATTTTGAGATAGGGAAAATTTTTGGATAGTCCAAAAATAGGGGAAACTCTGTCCGGTTTTCTGTAAAATACAAATGAGGCTTACTTGGGGGCACTTGCTCCTGACCGCTGTCATGATCCTAAATTGGGTCGTAAAGTTGGTATCAGAGCCACACTTGTGTCGGCCTTGCTTATGGTGGGTCAGAGTTCAACTGAGTTTAGGAAAATCTTGTTAGGCGGGGCAAACCTCAGTGCTGAGTCTAGGAAAATCCCATGCGGTAGGGCAAACCTCAGCGAGGATGCTGAGTCCATAAGAGGGGGTGTATGTAACACTCCAGAATTTAGACAGAGTGCCACATCGGCAAAACATAAGAGGGATGCTGGGTGTATAAGTTAACAAGCCTTAGACCCTAGTGACACATTTTAAACCCGTGAGGGCCCATGCCCAGAGTGGACAATATGACGCATTCTTGTTACTCTAACGTTGATTGAAGAACAAAGGTGGTTCGATTCTAATTTCCAGGAAAGCCTATTTTTGGAGTAGAAAGGTAATACGGCATCGCCGAGAGGTGGATTTATTTCCTGTCATAAGGCGAGGAGGATGAACAGAAAAGGTTATGATTATCACTTAGTTCGGGTAAAGGCAGCGAAAGTAGAGTCACCAACCGTTAAATCTATCCCTATGGTTAATGAATTTCCTGATGTTTTTTTCGATAATCTTCCAGGTCTTCCACCAGAGCAAGAAAATAAGTTTGCTATTAACCTACTACAAGCTACTCAACCAATATATATTCCTCCCTATAGAATGGCCTCGTAGAGCTGAAAGAGTTGAAGGAACAACTAAAGGACATGCTTCAAAAAGGCTTTATCAGACCTAGTACATCACCGTGGGGAGCACCGGTGTTATTCGTGAGGAAGAAAGATGGTTCCTTACGGATGTGTATTGGTTATAGACAGTTGAATAAGGTGACGATCAAGAATATGTACCCGCTTCCAAGGATTGATGATTTATTTGATCAGTTGCAAGGTGCCATTCAAAAATAGACTTGAGGTCCGGGTACCATCGGGTAAGGGTTAAGGAGAAAGATATCCCGAAGATAGCACTCAGGACCAGATATGAGAACATTGAGTTTCGTGTTATGTCGTTCGGTTTGACGAATGCCCCAGCAGTATTCATGGATTTTATGAACCATGTGTTCAAGCTCTTTTTAGATCTGTTCATAATTGTATTTATCAATGATATATTGGTGTATTCTCGTTCAGAGGTGGAGCATGCAGATCATTTGTGTACTGTGCTCATAGTTTTACGAAAAGGGAAGTTGTATGAAAAATTCTCTAAACGTGAATTCTGGTTGAACTCTATAGCTTTCCTTGGGCATATCATTTCGGGTGAAGGCATTCGGATGGATACAACAAAGAATGAGACAGTAAAGACTTGACCTAGATCCCCAACATCGACGGAGGTTTGTAACTTCTCTGTTTGGCAGGTTATTACAGGAAACTTGTAACGGAATTTTCTTCTCTTTTAGCACCTTTGAACAAAGTGGTATGTGGTGTCTCGTTTGATGTTCCATAATAACACAAGGAAATCTATGGTGCAAGTAAGTTGAGGGAAAATTTCAAATAAAGTATATATAGATATGTGTAGGTCGCAAGCTAAAGTATGAAAGAGCGACAAGGTTTTAGGAAGACAGGAATAAGGATAAGAAAAGGTGAGTGGAGAGGGTGACGGGAATGGATAAGTACTTGGGATTAAGCCCATGAAAATAAGAGAACAGATGGTTTCTGTAAGTCATAGAAAGCTAAGTATAGCCTGAGTGAACTCAAAGGAGTCTAACATCAGTAGAATTTAGAAGAGATGGAATGCTGCCCTGGTAGTGGAATAAGGGCATAATTGTGATAGATAAAGGATGACGTTTGGGCTTAAAAGGAATTTCATGAATTTTAAAAGATTAAAATACCCATGTAAGTTGACTCAAAAGGGAGCTATGCTTCAGTGGACTGATGCTTGCGAATGGAGTTTCCAGGCATTGAAGGACAGATTAACTTCAGTACCGGTTCTAATGCTCCCAGAAGGGACCGATGGTTATGTTATCTATTGTGACACTTCAGGCGTTGGTTTGGGTTATGTACTAATGCAGTATGCTAAGGTTGTAGCTTATGCTTCTAGAGAAGTGAGAAAGCACGAGAAGAATTACCCAACCCATGATTTAGAGTTAGCCGCAGTGATTTATGCACCAAAGATGTGGAGGCACTACTTTTGTGGCATTCATGATGATATCTATACGGATTGCAAGAGCCTCAAATATATCTTCAAGAAAAAGGAATTGAATTTACGTCAAAGGAGGTGGTTGGAGCTACTTAAAGATTATGACATTGATATCTTACACCATCCGGGGAAGGCGAACATGGTAGCCGATGCCCTCAGCCGTAGATCTATGGGTAGCCTGTCATATTTACAATCAAAGAAGAGGGTAATAGCCCATGAGATTCCTCAGCTAGCTAGTCTTGGAGTTCGATTTTACTGGACTCATGTGATATTGGAATGACTATTCAGGATACGGCAACATCCTCGTTAGTAACTGAAGTGAAGGAACGCTAGTACGGGGATATTGTGTTAGCTCATTATAGGGATACCACCCGTCAGAAGGAGAAGACACCCATTTGGAATCACAGAAGATAGGGTTCTCAGATATCGAGGACAATTATTTGTCCCTAATATTGCAGGGCTGTGTCGGCAGGTTGTGGGAGAAACTCACTATTCTCATTATTCTATCCCTCCAGGAGCGACAAAAGATGTATCATGATATCAGGAAAGTATATTGGTGGGACGGAATGAAAAGGATATAGCGCAGTTTGTTACTTAGTGTCCTAACTGTCATTAGGTTAAGATTGAGCATCAAAAACCCCGTGGATTGTTGCAGGCTATAGAGATCCCGACTTGGAAATGGGAAGTAATAAATATGAATTTCATCGTAAGCTTACCTCATACCCAGTGTAAGTTCGATTCGATATGGGTGATTTTTGATAGGCTTACAAAGTCAGCCCATTTTCTTCCCGTTAGGACTACATATTCCGCAGAGGATTATGCAAGGCTTATATTAAGGAGATAGTACAATTGCCTGGCATCCCTGTATCTATTATCTCAGATAGAGGAACTCAATTTACAGCTAACTTCTAGAGGTCCTTCCAAAAAGGATTGGGGACTCAGGTAAATCTCAATATGGCATTCCATCCCCAGACAGACGGAAAGGTTGAGCGTATTATTCAAACACTAGAGAATATGTTATGAGCTTGTGTGATAGACTTCATGGGTAGGTGGAATGATCATCTGCCGCTTATTGATTTTGCATATAATAATAGCTACCATTCCAGTATTCAGATGGCTCCATACGAAGCTCTTTACGGACGGAAGTGTAGATCGCCTATAGGGTGGTTCGATATTGGGAAAAATACATTAGTAGGACCAGAATTAGTGCAACAGGAGATCGAGTAAAGTAAGCTTATACAGGAAAGGCTATTAGCAGCTGAAAGCCGTCAGAAGTCTTATGCGGATAATCGACGACGAGACTTGAAGTTTCAGGTTGACGACTAGGTATTCCTAGTTGTATCACCGATGAAAGGTGTCATGAGGTTCAGAAAGAAAGGAAAACTTAGCCCTCGGTACATTTGGACCATATAAGATCAAACGCAAGGTAG